CTGCTGCTGCTGCTGCTGTTGCTGCTGCTGTTGCTGCTGCTGTTGCCGTCCCCGGTCCCGCGATGGGCCCCTGCGTTTGATCCTCGAGTACCGGCGCGTTCAGCGGCGGCCCCTCGTGCGGTCTCACTCCGTTGGCCAGGTGAAAGAAGTCCGTTATCCGCCGCTGTTGGGGCCCTTGCGCCTGGATCTGTTGCGCTTGCTCTGGCTGTTCTGTCGCGGGGTTAGCCGCCCTTTCCAGTCGCCTTCCGGCTGCTCGCAGACAACACCTGCCTACCTCCATGGCAGACAGGGCTGCCAGGGCGATCACATCCCAGGGGGCCTGCTCGCAGCCGGTCGGGGCTTGGACCAGCCACAGCTGCTTCCGGGTGATGCCGCCTGTCGCTGCCTCCTGGGAGGGCTGTATGTGTCGATCAATCTGCTCCCGGACAGCTTGTGCGACGGGGCACTCCCAGAAGTGGTGCATGCGTGGGGAGCAGTGCTGGTTGCTGGCGTTGCCGAACCCTCCACACCCACAGCGCTCCGGCACCATGCGGGCCAGGTGCGTATGTATGTATGTATGTATGTATGTATGTATGTATGTATGTATGTATGTATGTATGTATGTATGTATGTATGTATGTATGTATGTATGTATGTATGTATGTATGTATGTATGTATGTATGTGTGTGTGTTAGTTATCACATTGTGGATTGTGGTAAGTAGGATACTTAGATAGGTCCGTTACACGAGTGTACGGCGGACACGGCGAAGTGAATGATGACGACCTCATGCAAGCGAACCCATGCACGCACGGTTTTGTTCTTAAGCTTGACATCGATATGGAGGTGTATGTATGGCTTTTTTCATCATGCGATGCCGACCCGCGTCATTCAGCGAGCAGCAGGACGGAGAGTAGAAGCCTTTTCTTTTCAGTTTCAGTCCTCACCAAGCCGTATGTATGGCGTATCTACCCTACCTGGCTCAAAGACGTAGCTAGATTTGTAGCCAGCGCGTACATAGACAGGCTGGCTGCTTGCGTCTTCGAATGCACGTATGCACACCGCAGCATACCGTAACACAAAGAAACCAACGAAGCAAGAGCCCAAGGAGAAGAATACGAGAAATAAATCATGTATTTTAGGATGTATTTTATAATTATAAATTTATCCGGCAGCCAGAACAGCGCGTAGGCGACACCTGCACACAAGGTCGCCGGCAGAAAATATGCGTGACAAGGCGTCACGGTCTGTCACGGCGAGGCCTTGCTCTCTGTTATTACATCCTGCCTTATTAAGGAAAAAATCGCAAATTGCACATCGCATAATTATCCGTTATGACATATTCCAGGAAATATTATTGCACAGGGCGCCTTGGCCACGCAAAACAAGACCACCGGAGCGCCCTTATGTGCAATTGTAATGTAAGAGCAGCTGCAAGGACGGAGTAATAGGCGAATTAATGAATTCAATTTGTGAGCTGAAATGAAACTTTTAATGTGCACTGCGCTACGTTTGCTTACAACATTTTACAACGCTGAGCCACGCAGGTTCATGCACAGTAGAGGGTAGGACAAACTGTCGGGCAGAGCAATTCTTTTGACTGCCCCGGTCGCACAATTCCCGTGCTTCCCTAATTCGACACCCTGAACACGCTAATTCTGACTGTCCGAATGTCCCTGCCAGGCCAATTCGACACCCTGTCAGCCTAATTCTGACTGACGGAATGTCCCGCCAGGCTAATTCGGCACCCGGACAGGCCAATTCTGACTGTCGGAATGTCCCTGCCAGGCCAATTCATATCCCTGTCAGGCCAATTCAAGGGCCTGTCCCGGCAATTCAACTTGTCCCAGGTGTCAATTTAAACCCTTCTACCGAGCAATCTAGACCAATTGCAGGGTCTGCCCCCAAACTCTCAGGCACGCATTCAGAATCGCGGGAGTTGAAGGAACTTTACAAAACAAGGGGAGCACTTACAAATATCTCTCGTGTGTTTGTTGGTTTCAAATCCGTACATGCTTGTACTCCGTACTGCCGTACTCCGTACTCATTCACCCATACATTCATTGTGTGTGTATGTGTGAAAAGTTACCATCACCCGAACCGACCAGAACCAAAGGTGTGTCTGCATGGCAAGTCGCTCACAATTTTAACACCCGGTCTATTCATTCATTCCTTCGTTCAGACAAGCAGACATATCCACACGCCTCGTCTTGAACTGTGCTTCAGTCCTGCTAAGGGCCCCCGGCACTCGACCAGACTACATGTGTTCAAAAAGATACCACCACCCGAACCGAACCAAACCAGGGGCATGTTAACCACACCTTTCATTCATGTTAACCACACCTTCCATTCATTCATACATCCAATCATTCACGCAGACAAAGAAATGTAAGCACACGCGCCTGCCCTGCAGTAGTGTGGCCCGGCACAATGTAGCTGTAGTAGCTGGTACACAGTAAGCACAGTAAGCTGGTACACGCATAGCACGACCACCAGCATCTCGAGAGGCCTTTTCAGCGGCCAGCTACTAAATAATGCATGAACGTCACATAGAGGAAGGTAGCATAATACGAGCCGTCAACGATAGGACCATCACCGCCAACCGGACTGCGTGAACCTGTCTCCAGTGCGTCACGCAGCACACTGACTGCCTTGACGCTTCCAGTTGAGGGATCCATGTCGAGGTCGGCCAACCTTTCTGTCAGTGAATGGCGGTAAGTCAGCCACAAACCAGTCTGTACCTAATTCCAGGTTGGATAGAGCCTACTTGAGAGTGGCGCGCTGGTTCTGTTTGTCCTTGTAGTTGAGATCCTGGGACGAGATGTTGACATGGGGCATGCGCTTGCTCAGCGCGCGCAGTGCAGGGAAGCTGATGAGGTATGGCCCGATCATCATCATCTTCCGGGGGTTGATGAGCTGGCGCCTGCAGCACGTGTTACAGTGTCGACATTGCTGATCCTATTTGGTACCAGTCATTCGCCCGTGAACGCATGGCCATGCTCCTGGCTTTTAATGTACCCTACTGCAGGCCCGCGTACCTTAGGCGCCAGCCAATGTGCATTTGGTCAATAGTCAGCACGACGGGTTGGAGCACGGACACCCACGTCACTGCAAGGGGCAATGTAAAAAGCTACCTCCTCCGGCTGGCGTTGTTGTCCTTTGATGCTGAGACCCCGGATGATACCCCGCAGCAACTGTTGAATTGTGCCGTCAACGAGTCCTGAATGTCAATCGATGTCCGATGGTTAACAAGTCAAGGCATGTGTACACGCACGCCAGCCTACACTACTCACGCATGCCGATACTGCATCATACCTCGTTGTTGTGATGTTTCGAGCAGTCGGACGGGTTCACTGCGTGATGCATCTGCCCGAGCGTATGCCTGTAGCCTCACTCTATCAGCCTGGAAAAGGGATGTCCGCCGCTTAATCTCCCTGTCCAGCACTATTCGATCTGCCCGCTCGGCGATCAATGCGGATGTGACCACCTTGAGCCGCTCAAAGAGCTCAACGTGTCCCGCACGCTCAAGTCCCTCGGCAGAACGGAAGGGGACAATGACACTTGGGTCTGTCGCGACTCGCTGTGTCGCAGCGACTCGCAGTGAAGCAGCGTCGGCTGAACGCTTCAATTGGTGATTTCTGTTGAGGGCCAGACACGCGGCACACGGCCATACAGCTGCGGAGGAGAAACTGCAGACAACGGACCGGATGGAGTCGATTTCGCCGTAGTATGCTGGAAGCTGATTCTCCCGGAAGAATGTATCCGCCTGTGGTGCCATGTCAGGATTCCCATGTGGGTTAACATTTGTCAGGCAGACCAACACGCTAGCCTTGCCTTTGCCCGACCCACATGCACTGACCTTAGCAAACCACCATGCCATCAACAACCCGGGGTACCAGGCTAGCGCGCGCCCTGCATCGCCGCCCGTGTCCATGATGGCGGCCTCAATGTCCCGCGGCCCCAACACACCCGCCTGGGAACAGCCGTATAGGCAGGCGTAACATTCGTCGCGCAGTCCAGGGCACGACATCCCACCGATAACACGGCGCCGACGCTCGGCTAGTTGTTGCAGGAAGGCGGGGCGCGCTGGACGGGCGCCCGGCATGGGTAACGGACCGGGCAACGGCGCCGTGCTTCGAAGCCCGCGCTGCGACAACAGGTCTGAAAACATGGCATACCGGCATCCGTATCCAACACTGCCGGTGCGAAGGCTGCGAAGGACGCATACTTAACTCCACAGCTAGATCCATCGAAGCCACAAAGCGCCTGAACACAAAATTGTGGGTACAGGACCGTGCATGGCGCTGGGTGGCCACAGCAACACAAGTTAATCGTGTGCTGGCGTCCACAGACTCTGCAATCAAGCTGACGTTTCTCCAGGACTTCCATAGCAGAGGCCTGAGACTTCTCCGCCCCGAATACTTCCATGCATGCACCATGGTTCATTTAGCACCGTTCGACACAAGAACCTATGGTGATAATATAAACTGGCATACTTATTGCAATGGTTTACCGAGATTTTTAGAAATGCTTCCTTACTGTCTAAATACCTTCAGCTTTTTAAA